AGAAATATTTTGATCGATTCCGAGTAAAAATTATATTTTATTCTAGTTTCATATATTACCATTATTTTTCTATTTTTTTTTAAATATATTTTGATGATCTAGATGATCTATAATAATGACAATTTTGCTTATTTAATTAATATTTTTTTACGTCCAATTGTCTCTATTTCCAAACAGCTACATCCGTTTGTCCCAATATGTCATTTTTATTATTCATTCATATTACAACTTTACAAATTATAGCATTTGAACGTGATATAAGTGGYAACGATACAATACAAACTAAACTGCGCTGTATAAAACTGTCTAATGAAATATCTTACAAGTTTAATATAAATCAATAAATTAATTTTTCTAATAGWAGACTTGCTTTACGATAAACCAGTCCATGTTATTAAGCCAAARTTCCATCAATTATAATTTGCATARGGTCTAAGATAAATTGCCGTATATTTATAACAACGATAATGATTACTGTTTATAGTATAGAGATTTTACGGTGTTATTGCCTGCTAACTACCCAAGATATTTTCTACGATTTACGAAATTTTAGTTATTTGATTAATGCATACATTTTGGAGTAATATTTTAGACTTACAGTATATATATATTCATCTATATAATCCGAATTCCAAAATTATTTTTTGTTTTACCTCATTTTTATTTATTTTTTAGAACTTATGGCGTTTTTGCTTACGATAGCAGATTACCTATATTACATATTTTAATACTAAAAGTTTTTGTTAAATTGTATACTGTGTGTCTATTGTTAAGTTAATTGGACATTCAACTAAATTTCTGTCTTAAAATAAATTACTACTTGTATATAAGTATCAAACCCTTAAGTCTACTAAACTATATCACCACTAATGAAGTAATGAACATATGAAAGTGGGTTGACGATAATTTGTCACCTATAAAATAACAAAATATCATGCARATGCGTACCAGTGCTATTGCTGTGAACCGGAATGCTGCGGACTGAGTAGAAGATATTTGGCTCTACCTGCAGGCCCTGTTGGATCACCAATCAGTAGTTGCACTGAAATACATCTACTGACAAGCTGTGCCGGCGCAGCTTCACTTTCGGTGGACTTTTGGGGTGGCAGCGCTAGTGATTTTAGCCGGGACCCGTGACGGTTGTAGGGTGGGTTGTTTTAAAGAGCAACGWGGTGAAACATGGTAGCGGTGGCGGAGGGTGTCGGTACAAACGTCAATAATGCGTATGCGTATGGATTTTAAACGGGCTTGATATGCGAATATGCCTTCCCAGACACAATAAACATTTTCAATCGTACCAACCTGACTCTCAATTTAATTTATTTAATACATTTTTGAATATTTAGCAGAAAAATAKTTTTATTTAGTAGGTATTACTCGATATATACCTACTAAAAAAAAGTATACGGGATGAGTAAATGTTTTTGAAAAATGTTAATAATGACAATTTATATGTACATATTTATTAATTCTACTAGATACCTACCTATATGGATTCACAACTCGACTTATTCTACTTAAACAATTTAAACTTAAAAAGAATACGAATAGTGGTCTGTTGGATTGATGTTCGGTATTTATTCCGAATATATTTGGACAATACAAATGAAAATCGAATGGTGTTTGCTACCAAATATGAATGTATCATCATGGGAATTCATTGAAATTAAAAATTAACTTTAAAATAAA